ACAGCCTGGGGGGTGCAGACCTGCGTCCCACCGTGAGCCGGCCGGGCAGACTCAGCACCCTCTCCGGGAATGGGAGGGAGCGGATTCCGACACGAGAGACGGATGTGGGGAGAGGGGGTGGGAGACACGGATCGGGTTGGCAGACTTCTCTGTGAAGGGCTGCGTGGTCGCTATTTCAGCCTTCGTGGGCCATGGAGAATTTGGCCACCCCAGGTTCTTTGTTGTTTTAATGCTTTTATAAAAATCTGAAAACCATTTTTAGCTCGAGGGCCCTATAAATATAGGCCTCAGGCCACAGTTCACCATCCCCTGAAACAGACTTCAGGGAGAAGAAACTTAAAAAAAAAAAAAAAAAATCTTCCTAAAGAGAAGACTTAGTGTCTGTAAAATAACAACAGGACTTTATAAAAGAACCAAAAGGATTCTTGGAAACTAAAACCATGACAGCGGAGAGGAAGGACTCAGTGGCAAGATCGGGAGACAAAAGTCCAGGAAGTCACCCAGAAAAGTGTCCCTGCACTCAGGTAAGGACACGGGAGTGTGCTGGGCCTGCGCTGACACCAGCCCTGGATGCTGCACAGCCATGGGACGGAGGCCGGGATTCCCCAAAGGTACTGCCTCAGGCCAACAGAGGCCATCCTGAGCTGGTGGGCAAGGGTGCAGCTCCCAGAGGCTGCCCTGCACCCCAACAAGGTAGCCTCAGGACACGGTTGTCCCTCCAGCAAAGGCACTGGCTACCCACAGCCCCAGCCTCTTGGCAGTAAACCCAGAAGAGAGAAGCAGAGGAGCAAAGGGAGGGAAGAGAGAAGGACCCGCCGGTGAGGCCCAGGCTTCAAACACTGAGTCAGGAAAGAGCAGGGGAGGTGGCTGCTGTGGCATGCTGGTGGTGGGGGGACCAATACGCCCCTCCCCCACTTTCCCTGAGGTTCCAGAGCACGCAGCCAGGAGCCAAGAGCTTGAAGGGGGAGCAGACTTGCAGGGGGCTGAGCGCCGCGATGTCGGAACCACGGCCATGAGAAGCCTAACTTTCTGGAAGAATAAGACAGGACACATCCTGGAGATGAGCCATCAGGGTGCTTTCTGACTTTCAAGAGCCAAGTCAGAAGCTGAGGGCCCCAGAGGGCACGAGTTGGGCCAGCGCCTCCAATGGCAGTCATGAATGACGGCGTCACAGAGAAGCGGATTTACCCACAGAGGAGAGAGGGACCCAGAAAACCAGAGAGGAGGGGCGTCCCTGGCCAGTGGAGACCAGGGTTGCAGCGAACGGTGCAGGCTGCTGGATTTCACGCATAAGTTCACCTTCTTCTGCACAGCTTGGGCTGCTGGTCCCACTTGAGGGAGCCTCCCTGTCCTGTGCCCACAGAGCCAATCTTGGGGGTCCCAGGTGGTAGAAGGCTTTGCATTTATGCTTTCCTTTCAGCCTGGTGGGTTGGGTCTCTCGTGCTATAAAGCAGGAATCCCACTTTTCAAATCCCTGGGACTCTTTCCCTCCCTTCTCAGCTCCGGGGGCGGGGGGATGACGTGGTGGTAGGTGTAGTCAGTAGACAGAGCCCTGGGTGGGGTGCCTGCTGGCTGCCCCCTGGGCCCCTTAGTGACCTCACCGGTCCCCAGGGGTGCCAAGGCCTGTGTGAGCGAGCTGGGAGCACGGGGCCAGGCAGCCCAGGCCCTCTGCCCCTGCCCAAGTGCCTAGAACACCCCTCCTGGGGGTATGGCTGTGCCATCCGGGAGCCTTTGATCATGAGCTGCTTCTTGTCACACAGATGAGCTGGGCAAACCTGCGGGCCGCCTTCCCCACCCTGAGCCCCGCGCAGCTGCACCGGCTGCTGACCCAGTACCAGCTGGCCTCAGCTGTGGGCCCCATGAGTGCCTGGGAGCCAGGCGCCCAGGACAGCCCTGATGCCTTCAAGTCAGGTGAGCCGCCTCTGGGCCAGGAGCTGGGGGCCCTGTGCGCCATGTTGGGGCAAAAGGGAGCTCCCTGGGGGACTTCCTATGGGAGCGTGCAGAGCCTTGGGGACCTTCATCCTGGGCGCCATCTTCTGGGAACACCCTACCCTGTCCCCCACCTGGGGACCTGGAGACCCTCACAGAAGGGGGTGGGGGTAGTCAGAGCCCACAGGCCATGACCTAGATCCAACCTCCGGTCAGGCTGGGTCCTACCCATTGAGGAGCCCGAGGCTGCGGCCTCACTTGGGGCATAGCCGACCAAGAGGAGAGCAGGGTCTGCATGCGGAGACAGTGTACTTGCCACGTGCATGCGCATATATGGCCTACGTGGGCCTGTGTGTGTCTCACAACTAGGGACGTATCTCTGCTGCACGATACACCATGACACACACAAATTACAAGGAGGTAGAAACTACAGTTGGAAACCGTGTCCCTGTCCCCTAGGGGTTCAACCTGGACAAAGCCACTGCTCTGAGCAGGACTGTGGGCTCCTCACTTTGGAGGCCTGCCACGTGGGGGTGCTCTGCCGGGGGCCCCCATGGGGCGGGTCTGTTTTAGGGCAGACATGCCCCCCACCATCTGGGTCCCAGGGCCACATGCAGATCACAGTGGATGGGGGCGGTGGGAGGGGTGCCCGGAGGGGAAGTGTCGGGGGCCCACTGTGGGCAGAGGTTCCAGCCAGCAGCTCGAGCTTTGCCCTGGCGGGTCACTGGACACAGACGGCGGAGCGCTGGTCTGGGCAGGCTGCCTTTGCCCGGATGCCCCATGGCGGCGTCCCCTGTCCTGATGGTGTGGGGTGGGGGTGGCTGGCACACCTGGGGAGGAACAGGAAGTCTGGTCTTGCTGGGCCTGTCATGCCGTCCCCCGCCCCTCCCCCAACAGAGGAGGTCCTGGAGTCCTATGAAAACCCGCCACCCATTGTGTTGCCGAGCGAGGGCTTCCAGGTGGACTTGGAGGCCGACTGCCTGGACGACAGCATCTACCAGCACCTTCTCTACATCCGCCATTTCCTGTGGAGTCTGCGTAGCAAGCCCAGCCCCGTTGGGGGGCCCTCCCAACCGGGGGGCCTCGAGGTACCGGGTGCAGTTGGGGGTGCGTGGACTCGGACAGCAGGGGGGCCAGGGGCAGCCAGCTCAGGGCCTGGGAGTGCCCGGAGCCCCTCTTGTTCTCCCACCACGCCTGGCCGCCAAGTCCCTGAGTTCTTTCTCCCCCTTGCCGCCCAGGGCCCGCACCACACCACCTCTGAGGGCCAGAGCGGCCCGCTAGTTTGCAGGGGAGCCCGTGAAGCTGGCCAGGGGCGCACTCTGGCTTCTGCGGGGGCTCCCCGTGCACAGGGCCTTTCAGGAAGGCAGAGCCGCGGGGGCCCCCAGGCTGGCCCCCTGCACGTAGACTCCTCGTGTCTACTCACGCCTCCCAGCACCCCACTCAGCCTCGAGCCCGCTGTCCCGGACTGGCCCGAGCCTAGAGGCACCTGTGGGAAAGTGCTCCTGGAAGGGAGGAGGAACGCAGCTCCAGAAGGTGAGACCTGTCCCCAGGCTCATGCTCGCACCCCAGCCCTGTTGCCACCTGGCAGAGCCCCTTGGGAGTCATGCCACCCGTGAGGTCCTGGCGTTATGTTCACCTGGGGCTCGCAGTGCCCGCCCAGGATGCCAGAGGGCGGCTGGGCCATGCGGAGCCATCTGTGGGACCAAGTCGCTACCCTGAGGATAGGGGGAGGCAGGGAGGGATGGCTCAGGAGACAAGCACAGAAGAAGGGAAGCAGAGGGATGGGGATCTCGAGGCCGTGGCAGTGCCAGCCGTGGTCCTGGAGATCTGAGTGCTGGGGCCACAACCACAGGTCCTTCCGGGTGGCTCCAGCTCAAGAAGGGGGCAGGCTCGCTCGGGGCCCTGGTGCTGGGCTGGGGGGCCGGGTCAGACATCGGGGGTGGACAGGGGTGGAGTCAGCACTTAGAGGTGCAGAGGGAGGAAGCAGGGTCTCAGAATGAGCCTGAGCAGAGGCCCCTGTTCGGCCCTGGAAAGGGCCAGCCATGAGGTGGATGGGGGTGCCTCTTCCAAACACACGAGGGTGTGACCTGGACCCCTTATCCTGACAGTAGTTGGGGACTTGCTAGAACACAGTGAGCACCCTTCCTGGGGACAGGCTGCCACAGCAGTGCAGACAGCCCCCCCGCTCCCTGCCCACCCAGGGGACAGCGTGGGTCCTGAGGATGAGCCCCTTCCGGCCCCTCCCAGCCGCAGCTCCAGCACGGAGGATTTCTGCTACGTCTTCGTTGTGGAGCTGGAGCGGGGCCCCTCCGGGCTGGGGATGGGCCTGATCGACGGGCTGGTGAGTGGCCCTCTGGGCTCTGCTGGGCCGGGCCCTCTCTTTACTGGCCCCCAGCTCGTGGGGAAGGCTGGGACCAGGGTCTGGGCTAAGAGTATAGCGGGTGGCTCAGAGGCTTCTGAGAGGAGGGAAGGGCCTGCAGGGGACGTGACGGTGTCTGGTGCTGCCCTCGCAGCCCCGTGGCAGAGCTCGTGAGGGAGCCGGGCCCAGGCGCACGGAAGCCTGAGGCCGACACTTCTCCCCCAGCACACGCCGCTGGGCGCCCCGGGGCTCTACATCCAGACCCTGCTCCCGGGCAGTCCTGCGGCTTCGGACGGCCGCCTGTCCCTGGGAGACCGCATCCTGGAGGTGAACGGCAGCAGCCTGACGGGTGTCAGCTACCTGAGGTACCCCCCGCCCTCGTGCTACAGCCACCAGGGGAGCCCCTGGCCCATGAGCAGGTCCCATCCCGACCCTGGGCTGGGTGTGAGGGAGCAGAGGCGCAGCGCTCAGCCGGCTCCCTCAACCTCTGAGCACACAGCAGCCCCACCGGGGAGCCCCTCGAGGCGGTGTGTCACAGCAGGGTGACAGAGTGGGTCCCTATCCCAGGTTCCCCCAAAGCCCTGCCTGCCTCACCTGTCCTGAGGCTGGGCCTGCGGGGAGTCCCCGCGACGCGAGCCTGGCTCCCTCCTCCTCCCCCTGCGCTGGGTTTCAGAGCTGTGGACCTGATCCGGAACGGGGGCAAGAAGATGCGGTTTTTGGTTGCCAAGTCCGACGTGGAAACAGCCAAGAAGATCCGCTTCCGCACGCCGCCCTCCTAGGGTGACGGCCACCTCCTGCCGTGCTGTTCCCGCGTTCCCTGTTGCGGAAGACGTACATCTTAGTGTATATTTTATTTATGTGACAGAGAACACTAAGTTGTGATGTTTGTTACAGAGCTTTTATGTGTAAAGATTTTAATGGAAATGTACAGATTCAATAAACTATCTTTCGTATTCTGAAGGGCTGGCGGTGTGTGGAATGAAGGTGGGCGCGGCGCCGGGCTCCCCAGGAGGACACAGGGTCCCAGTGCAGCCGGTGGGGTCTCCCTCTGCCCCCCGCCCCCACCCTGAAGCACGGAGCTCCTGCTCAGCACACACTCAGCATAGCTCAAAGACGGTCTAGAACCGCCTGCCCCAAACCCCGAGCCCTCACTCCACTGGGGGCACCCGGGCCTCCTCTCGCTCACCACAGCCATGACTGGGCCCTAATAGCAGCTGGTAATCTGCGGCCACCCCGGCGTCCCCCAGGTCACCCTCCCCTCACCCCAGCAGGAGACTCACCTTGTCCACCAGGTGGCTGGCTGTGGTGGGGGTCGAGGCGACAGCAGGGCTTGGACACCTGCGCCAGGCGTGTTCAGCAGGCTGGGCAGCCGTGGCCGTAGCAGGGAGCTCAGGGCTGGGCTCGGGGCCAGAGTTGACTTCTTGGAGAGGAACAGAGACCTGGAGGAAGAGGGGCCCTGGTTCATCGGCTGCCGACACACCCCTCACAGGGAGAGGGGTCTCAGGGAGGGAGCCCCCCCACCCACAACCTGTGAGGTCCTCGGTCAGTCCTGAGCACTAGGCTCCCCGCAGCCCCACGCAGCCCGCTGGTGAGTGCAGGGGAGAGGTGCGCCCGCGGCTAGATCACATGTATTTTTTTTAAAAAACTCATTTTAAACACGTGATTGAACCCAAAAAGAAAACTTAGAGCCCCAAACTGAATCCAGGGCGCCAGTTCCAAAAGGCCAGCAGCAGCCCAAGGGAGGCCTGCCCAGCTCCTGGTCTCGGCGGCTCAGCGCCGAAGGAGAGAAACCCGAGGGAACGAACAGGGACCCCCCGTAGCTGAGTTCCCAAAGGGCTTGAGCCCTGGGAGTGGGGGGACACGCACAGAGTCCCCAGCAGGCCCCTTCCAGGCAGTAACCGTTTACTGCTCCCAGCTCCCACCCACTTTCCCAGACGCTGCCGTAATGTCAACCTGAAACAGCAGGACGGCGCTCAGGTCCCAGAACAACTGCCTCACCCGCACCCAGCGCAGCTGCGGGGGACTCCGAGCTCCAGGTGGGGTCCTCCCTGCGGCGCAGGCCCACTCGCCCGCCGGGAATGCTCTTAGCCATGGCAGACGTGCGAGCCGCCAAGCCCAGCTCCCCAGCACGTCTCAAGCTCCGGTCCCTCGCGTCCACAGCCTGTTGGCCAAAGCTCAGGGGACGGAAGCCCGCGGTCGGTGGGAAGCTCCCCGCTCCCCACCAGGCGGCAGCAAGTGCGTGGACTGCACACTCAGGGAGTGCAAACTCCCCGCGTTTGAACTCGGGTAGCTTCTGTCTAGACTCTCAGGCAGCAGGGCGGTCCGCCAGGCAGAGAAAACGTAAAGGCAGCATCTCTGGACTGTCCCTGGCTCTCTGACAAGCGGGGAAACGTGTCTTCTCGAACCCACGCTCACCACCTTGTTCGCGCGCAACTTTGGGACCCAAACGTCCAGCACGTGGAAACGCCGCAGGCCGAGCGCCGACTGAAAACACGCCCTGAGACCTGGCAAAACTAGCACCTCCCTCTGGACAGACCATCTCCTCAGCCTTGGCCTGCCTTCCCGCCTCGGGCCCGGGCCGCGCGGGGCGGGGAGGGGGCGGCCGAGCCGGGTCTTGTGCCGTCCGGCGAGGACCAGCGGGCCCCAAGCGTGCCCCGCCCCGACGCCCACCGCTCCGCTCCACGGGCGCGTCACCTGTCGTCTGCCGGAGGTCCTCCAGGGCCCGGGACGCCAAGCGGAGCCGAGGCGGACACTCTGCCGGCGGGAGACCGGTTCGGTCCGCTCCGCGCACCGCGTCCGCCCGCCGCAGCAGCCCGGTTCTGGCGTCCGCACGGTCCGGCGTCCGGGGGCGGGGCCAGAGGCGGCGGGGCGGGCGGGGCGAGACCGGCGGAGACTCGCGGAGCACCAGCGCCACCTGGTGTCCCGGATGCCTGCGCGTAGCCGGCGGAGCTGAGGGGGAGCCCTGGGAGCTACTGTCCAAGGCAGGAAGCTGACCTCAGTGGAACTGGGGCAGGAGGCCCTGAGGGGTGGGGGGACGAACCACGACACCTCTCTTGTGCTCCCACACTCGGCTAGTCTCCACCACTCGGCATAATACCAGCGCGATCCTGGCTTGAGGGGTCCCTGCTGGGTTGGCCCTGCCCTTCCTCCAGATGGCAAGAGACTGCAGGCCAGAAGAGCCACAGCCTCTGTGTCTTCCATCATTCAGTAGCATCAGATGGCGGACTAAGAAAGGACACTGAGCAGAGGCCCTTCCCAGTGGCGGCTGCGCCAGTGGGAGAGTCACGCGGCTCCCTTGCTGATCGCCCACATCGTGCTGTTATTTCTGTAACATCTGGGACACGGTGGGGAGTTGGTGCGAAGGAACGGCCCCAAGCGTCTGGCCCAGCGGGGCGGGGGTCCCCACCTGCCCAGGGCCAGGCCTCCCAGCCCAGCAGCGCTCCCCACACTTGGCCCTCTCCCCTGCCTCGTGCACACAGGGATGCTCTGGAAGAGGTTTATTGCCGCTGCACCTCCTTTTGCCTCCCAACAAGGATCTGCCAGAAACAGACCAAGCAGCCCCCATCCACCCCCAACGGGGTGAGAGCTCCAAATCAGATCTGTGTCACCACACAGCTCAGCATGGGACAGAGACAAACATCTAAAGGCTGAGGATGGGACAGCCTCACCCACACAGAGGGACCCAGACCCACCCAGGGCTCCTCCCCGGGTCTCACGCCCCTGCTCGTGGCAGCCGCAGCTTGGCTCTCATTCTGCGGCCGGGCCAGCGTCCCCCAGGTCAGCGCCCCTCACCCCGGCAGGAGGCCCATTTCCCTCTCCACCAGGCGGCTGACCGTGCGCAGGGCCAGCGGCAGGGCGGTGTTGGCGTCACGGTGGTAGCGGGGCTCGGACAGCTCTGCGCTGGGCGTGAACACAAACTGGGCCACGCTGGGCATCTTCAGCAGCGTCAAGAGCTCAGTGGCCCGTGTGCGGACGGCTGCCACGCCCTCCTCACGATGCACGGAGCTCAGCGCCGGGCTCTGGACCAGGGTCCTCATCTTTGACAGGAACAGAGAGACCCTGAGGACGAAGGGATCCCAGTCAGTCAGCTGCAGGTGCACCCCTCACGTGAAAGCTGAGGCCCCACGGGGGGGGCCCAGACGCCCAAAGCTCTGGGTCGGGGGGCATTAGCTGGGAGCAGCGAGGCCGTGGGGATGCTGCCGCCACTGGTATCCAACCGGAGCCCTCGTGCTGCAAGCCACATGCAGACCTTGGGGACCAGGAAGGCAACCAGCACCAGCTCCCCTTCTCCTTCTGCCCCAGCCAGTACCTGGGAATCAGATCTTGGCTCCGGGAGGCCAGCTTGGTCAGCGTGGTCATGAGCACGGCGATGACCTGTGGGGGGCACTCGGGGAGGGTGGCAGATGGGCGCGACTGGGTAAGCTCGAACAGCAGGGCCTCGAGGGCCTCAAAGAACCTGTTGATCTGCTCCACGGTGCACCGCCGGTCCCAGGACACAGACAGGTACTCGCCGATGGCCCAGGCCTACATGGGGACAGAGCCTTAATCCCGGAAGGCGCCCCGGCGTGGGAGAGGGGCGGTGGCGCGGTGGCCGGCCTTACCACGGAGGCGAGCATGGCCCCCCGGCTGCGGACACTGCTCACACTCCCCACGAACTCCAGCAGCTCTTTTGCCAGCTCGACCACCAGTGATGGGTGCAGCGCGCACAGGGCCAGGAACTGGGAGCTCAGCACCCTGCCCGGGGAGGACACTGCTAGGCTGTGGCCCCTCATGAAGAACCAGAGCCAGGAGGGAAGGGGGAAAGCCTCTGAACAGGTTCAGGTCCAGATGCTTTCAGCCCCTAAAGGAACCCATGGCCCACTGGGAGGAAGCTGGGGCCGGCGAGTGGTGTGGGCACAGGCGTGTGTGGATCAGGCCTTCGGAAAGGGGCACAGATGGTCTGGAAGGCTCCATGGAGAGGGACCAGGGCCAGCACTGGAGATTACAGACCTGGGGGAGCAGGGACGGAGGCAGGGGCGTTCTGGACCAAGGAGAGGAGTGTGGGCAGCGGCTGGACCCCAGGTGATGCTGGGGACCAGGGCACATGCTGCAGAGGGCAGCCGGAAAGGGGCACAGCACAGGGGAGATGGAGACTTAGAGCCGAGGCAGGCTGAGCTGGGGGCGGTGAAATGGGGCTGGGTCGGCAGGGGCTGTGACACCTCATGGGGCCGGCAGGAGGGCCCACCTGTGCACACGGGCCTCATACTGGGGCACCTGGTAAAGGGAGTCACATCTCTCCAGGAGCAGCAGCGCCAGCTGGTTGGCCAGAACCCCGTCAGCAAACTGGGGATCAGGAGGGAGACACAGACTCAGCCCCCACCCTGACATCACCCTCCCCCACATTCTGCTCCACACCCGCTGGTGCCCGCCAGCCCGGGGCTGCTCTTGGGGGTGGTCAGGCTGCCCTCCCGGTGCTTCTCGCTGATCCAGAGCGGCATCTGGGTTCAAGGACACCAGCTCTGCCGAGGCCCGGGGCCACCCCTTCTGTGGGAACGGAGCAGCCCAGAAGCGGGCTCACCTGAGTCACTGCTGAGAAGAAGGCCTGGAGCAGCGTGGGCACGGCCTCGGCGCACTGGACCACCCGGGCACAGCTGGCCATGGGCTGCAGCAGCTGGTGGAGGGGCGCCAACCTGGAGGACAGGGGCCGCGCGTCCCACTGAGCGCCCATACCTGCTCCCCCGGGGCCCACAGACATACCGGTGCCTGAGGGGACAGGGCACGGGGTCGCAGTGTCGCGGCCCGGGCAAGTTCTGAAACCACCTGCATCGCCTCCTCGGAGGAAACCCCTGCTCCCGCCCGCCCACCCCACCCCCCCCCGCCGGGAACCACGCACGCGGCTTCCTGCTGAGCGCTGTGCTCCCCACTCCCGTGGGACACAGGGAGGGCGTGCGTGGGGGTCTGCACTCAGGACGCCTTGTTCCGGTCCTGGCCCCCCACCTGCTCCTAGGGAGCGCCACCCCTCGGTTGCTCCCTCTGGACAATGGAGTCCCCACAGCACTGACTTCGCAGGGTTGTGGGAACCGAACTGGTGCGTGGTAAGGGGTTGAGCGTGAAGCCTGTGCCCGGCAAGCACCCGGAGCGCGGCTAGCGACTGCCAGGGGCAGGGGGATGGGGGGGGGCGACAACAGGGGCTTCTTCAGCTTAGAAGGCACAATGCTCAGGGCCAGATGTCCCCAGACATGTCCCACCTACCCTGGGAACAGGCTCTGACCACGTGTAGTGCTCTTCAAGCCGACCCAGGGACATGGGGCCAGGGACCCCCACAGACAGGCCCCACCCCAGGGCCCCCCCGGCCTGAGCAGCCCTACCTCTCCACGGTTCCACTGGCCTTGGCCCGCAGCAGGTGCTGGAGAAGAGCCTGGAACTGTGGGTCCCGGGAAGCCTCCAGACAGCTGGGGTTCCTGAGGGAAGCGTCCCACAGCGGCCTCTCAGACGCAGCCGGTGACAGCCTGTGAGCAAGCAGACGCCTAAGGCCAGGCTCAGATGTGGGCTCTGGGCCCAGGCCACCGGAGGCCCGACTCGGCCCCAGCCCTCGCGGAGACACAGCAGGCGTCATCCCGCGCCAACGATGAGCCTGAGGAACTAGAAGGGACCTGGGGCTCGCTACCTGCAGGGTGAGGCTCTCCCAGCGAGAGACACGGGCCAGGGCCTCGGGGGCCCAGGGCTGGAGAGAGGCGCTCTCGTCTGGGCAGCTCGCGGAACAGCAGGGGACGGGGAGGGATCCAGTCGGCAATGGGGAGGGGACCCAGGGACAGGCATCATCCCTCAGGCTCACCTGAGCTGCAGATCCAAGGCCGCGGTCAGACAGGGCAGGTCCAGCAGCGCATGGAGCATCTCCACAGCTGTGCCGGGGTCCACCAGCCACGGCAGGAGCTCCACGAACTCGGAGGTGAGGGGCGGGCTGTTCCAGGCCAGGAGCTGCAAGAACAAGCGTGGCGGCTCAGTAGGCACCAGGAGGGCCCGTGTGGGGCGTGCGGGCCAGCGGCTGGACCCATGGCTGC